GTTGCTGGACCTCTCTTGTTCCCGATCCATGGGTGGTGTCTACACTGACTCGGGGTTACACGCTACAGTTCCGCCGCCGCCCTCCTGTTCCTGGTCGAATCAGGATGACAGTGATTCACGACCAGGCAAAGGCTCAGGCTCTGAGCCACGAGATAGATGCCTTGCTGGCCAAGGGCGCTATATTGCCTGTCGACCCCCTGCAGGATCCAGGGGGCTTTTACTCAAAGTATTTTTTAGTCCCAAAAAAGACCGGCGGACTCCGTCCAATTTTGGACCTCAGAGGTCTCAATGTGTTTTTGAAGACTATCCCGTTCCACATGTTGAGCGTCAGGGATGTGCTTCAGACAATCTCCCCAGGCGACTGGATCACCTTGGTCGACTTGAAGGACGCCTACTTTCATGTTCCGATTGCATCACACCATTGGCAGTTTCTCCGCTTTGCATTTCAGGGCAGGCATTTTCAGTTCAGAGTTCTTCCATTTGGCCTCTCTCTGTCCCCACGGGTGTTCACTCGGTGCGTGGCTGCAGCACTGTCTCCTCTGCAGGCCAAGGGCTTGAAGATCCTGCCTTACTTGGACGATTGGCTAATCTGTGCGCCCACAGAAGCTCAGGCGGCGGCGGACACACACACGTTACTCCATCACATAGACTTGTTGGGTCTTCGTGTGAACTGGCAGAAGAGCAACTTGGTTCCCTCTCAGCAGGTCACCTTTCTTGGGGTCACGATGGACTCCCTCACGATGACTGCTCGCCCATCGCCTCAGCGTGTCGAGGGCATTCTGGAGATGCTGCCCTCCTTTCTACCAGGCTGCGTACCCCCCTTTGTTGCTTACCTTCGTCTGTTGGGCAAGCTGACTGCTGCTGCTACAGTAGTGCCCCTGGGGTTGTTGTCTCTGCGACCGCTACAGATGTGGCTCAACAGCCTGAGGCTGGACCCATCTCGTATGCAGCACCGCCGCCGGAGACTGCTGGTGTCCAATCAATGCCTCGGGTCACTGGCTCAGTGGCGAGAGGCCGAGTTTATGACCGAAGGTGTTCCGCTGGGCTCGCTCCCGGCTCGTCGAGAAGTTGTCTCTACCGACGCATCCACCACAGGATGGGGGGCGTCGTGGCAGCGACAGATTGCCCGGGGGACATGGTCTCCGCAGGAAAAGCTGCAGCACATCAACGCCTTGGAGTTGGAGGCTGTGCAGCGGGCGTTGCGACACTTCCTCCCGGGCCTGCGCAGAAGGCATGTCCTGGTATGGTCGGACAATACTTCTGTGGTTTTTCATATCAACCATCAGGGGGGAACGCGGTCGATAATATTGCTGAGGCTGACCCAGAAGCTCTTGACCTGGGCAGCCCCTCTTTTTTCCAGCCTAAGGGCGGCCCACATTCCAGGGGTGCAGAATGTCCCGGCCGATATTCTGTCTCGGGGACGCCCACCACCGGGGGAGTGGAGGCTCCACCCGGAGGTAGTGGGGGTCATTTGGGAGAAATACGGCATAGCGGCTGTGGACCTGTTTGCGTCCCGGGAGACAACACATTGCCCGCTTTGGTTCTCCCTGGCAGACAGTGCCAGTCCTCTGGGTCAGGATGCACACGATTGGCCAAGAGTGCTGCTCTATGCTTTTCCGCCGCTTCCCCTGATAGGCCCAACGCTCCTGAGAGTCCTTCAGGAGCCTTGAGTATTTGACAAAAAAGACTGCCTTTCTCCTTGCCATGGCTTCGGCGAAGCGGGAGGGTGAACTACATGCGCTGTCTGTTCACGAGTCCTGTTGCCGTTGGAACCCAGCTGGCTCTGGCGTTACTCTTTGGCCTGACGTGACGTTTCTTCTTAAGGTGGCCTCATCTGCGAGCCACTCTGTGCCCCTCCAGCTTGCTCGCTTTGACACTGGTGGGCCTGATGAACCTCTCTGCCCTGTTCGGGCACTGGAGGCGTATGTCAGACTCACGGCTTCTCTGCGGCAGTCTGATAGTCTGTTTGTTTGTTATGCAGGGCCCCGCAAGGGGCAGGCCCTTTCCAAACAGCGTCTTGCACGCTGGATTGTGGATGTGGTGGAACAAGCGTACGTTCTACAGGGTCACCACGCTCCTGCTGGTGTACGGTGCCATTCCACCAGGAGCATTAGTGCGTCATGGGCCGCCATGACTGGGGTCACTCTGGAGGCTATCTGTGCAGCAGCCTCCTGGTCATCGCCGAATACTTTTGCTAGATTTTACAGGGTAAACCTGGCCGCCTTTCACCCACTGGAAGGGGTCCTGTCCCAGCGTTCGTCATCCCAGTGAGGTGGGCATGTTTTGGGATCGTTTCTTTCTGGGTGTGATTCCTCAGGACTCTGTTGGTAATCGTCATCCAGTGCTTTTAAGCACCGCCTCTGGCGGTCAGTAGGGATGAAATAGAACAAAAGTTACGACTGTAACTACGGTTCTATGAATCCCGGATGACCGCCAGAGCGTTCGGTCCCTCGGAATCATCGTGTTCGCGAGAAGGGACTGAGCTGTCATTGTCACGTGACTATATAGACTTACCGGCATCACCGGGGGTCACACGTGACCATGTTGGTATAAGATTCTCGACCTGTGCATGCGCAAGAGTGATCATTCAGTGCTTTTAAGCACCGCCTCTGGCGGTCATCCGGGATTCATAGAACCGTAGTTACAGTCGTAACTTTCGTTTTTATTTATTTTTTTAATATTTTATTGTTTAAACAACAACTGAACCGCATTTGTCCTCAGACAATACGCTAACAAGCACACAAAAATAAGGAAAATAAGGAAGGATGTGACACCCTCACTTGAATGTAAATAGTACTTTTCCTCAGTTTTTGTCTCATAAAGATATAACGTGTTAGTCTGTGTGCCGAAGTACGTGAAATGCATCTATGGGGTAATTTCATTCTCACTAAAAAAAGAAAACAGCGTTGGCTCTGCAGCTTAATTCCAAACAGTTCAGGTTTGTTTATTTTTAAGTTGATCAAGGTGTGTATAATCATGTAAGTAGCTGCGCAAAGGTGAGCCATGCAATTGTGGATCGCTTTGGCTCTGATGGAGAACATCGCCAATGGAAGGATTCAGAGGGAGCATGTGTTCAGAGATCATATTAATCTGCTGGAAAATATTGATGATGGTTTATTATTAATTAGATTGCCCAGACTGATCATCCTGGAGCTCTGAGCAAAACTTAAAGGAGGAGCCGTGCAGTACCGGTGCAACTGCCTTCAGTGGAGCCGCCCACTTTGTGAATGCGCCTTTATGGACAGAAAGCATTTCTATTCTGTAAATGTACAACTTATACACATATTTCTACTACTTAGAATAAACGTCCACATTCCCACTCTAAGGACTAGACATGCTGCCTGTCTTTATATCCCGGCTGAATGCTCTGCTGTTCAAACAGGCATTTGCGCGATCTCTTTATTTTCTCTTTTTAAATTTGGATTTCTTTTTCTCTAAAATGGATAATGTTTTTTTATTTTTGTGAGGTGACCTTATTTGCCCTGGAAGCACCTTTTAAATAAAATGTTATTATTATTATTATAAATACTTATACTGCCACAAACAAGGACATCGTCATGGTTATTGCTTCACGTGGGGCAGACTTCCGGGTATTTATACTAATTTACATATGCTCTATTTTCCGCAAATTAGGATGTATAAAGGAAAGGTGCGCAGTTATGTGCGTGCGCACAGCTTTATGCATTAAATTTTTTGTGTGTGCTGCACTTTTCTACATTTGTCCGTACGTCAAGTTTTAGTGCAAAAACTTTGCACTCTTTTACATTCACGTTACCTAAAGGAGTCCCAGCGGAAATAACAGCATTTTGTGGCAAAGCATTCCCTTCAGGCCACGTGACGCACAGCTTTTCTGGCAACCTGGAAACAGAGCGATGACCCCGGTCATGTTTTAAAACAACTTATTTAGAAAAAAAAAAAAAAGAAAGAAAAAAAAAAAAAGAGTACAATGCAAGAGTCAAGAAAAATTTCAAATGAAAACTTCAGTCTGGGTTAATTACTTTTTTTAAATTTCATGTCTCTCTGAAAACATTTATTTATTATGTACTTAATATTAGACTTGTAATACTTAATTTATTGCATATTTTTTACACTAATCAGGAGCAATTGTAAAACATTTTGACTTTCCACAAGAATTAACTTACTTGTCAATGTCGCTCTCGATGTTTCTCTTAATGCTTTCAATTGTAGCAGACCGGTCAATCTTGGAGATGGGTATAGTCCTGGTGTAATTGTCATAAAGCGCCTCTGGCACCTAAGAAAAATGTGATATAAATCTGATCATGTTAGAATGGTTTTATTTAATTATAATGTAAACCTATCAGTTTCCTTTTTACTATACATTTATTTATTTTAGCCCAATATAACATGAAACATCACAACATTGAAGGAAGCTAAAAATATAAATTATTTAGCAAAAAACAATGCATCATTATTGACTAATTGCCCAATTTACTCAAATTTGTTTCAAATTTAAAATTTATTTATGAGAATTTATTTATTAAAGAGAATAAACTTGAGGGGTTAAAGAATACCTGCAAGTTTCTTCACAAATAATTTATCACAATTTAAAAATTTTCTAATTTATTCAATAATAAAATTGTACAACATAAAAATAGCATGAAGAACATCTTGACAGTAAAAGGTCCAGATCATATGTACCCAATGCACACCAGCTTATAAACTGGAAAAGTGGAACTTTATTAAGAAGCAAAAATTTCACTTGAACAAAATATTTCTTTGGTTTTATTTGACAGATAGTTCACAGCTGTAATTTAGTTTTTTCAAACTGCATAATTTTTTTACTTACACGTGTGATTTCCACTTCTCCGCCGGTGGCAAAAACATTTCCTTCATGGTCTCCATACAGGAAAAATGTATTCACTTTGCCGTAATAAATCGGCTGAGTTCTCTGAGATTTCACCTGAGTTAAAACATGAAAAATATTAAAGGTAGAAGCCTGCAGTGGAAAACAGGAATTTATATAGATTTAAGAAAAAATTATTATCACTGTCTGACAATAAATCTGACAAAAAGTTTAATTTTTTAGGTTAGTTAATGTTATCAAAATTATCTCTATTTGATAAGTGAAAAAATATTGATGAATAATTTCAATTTTTCCTAATATATATATTTGGAAGTTGCATGTGTGTCTGAGCTTTAACTTTCTGACTCGTGTCACAAAGCATTAATTCAGTAGTGTCACATTTTCTTCTTTCCCCATTCTGCTATCCATTTTATGACGTGCACCAGTCCTTCCTTTAGTAAAACACACCCACAAAACTATGTTGTCACCTGTATACAAATACAAGCCATGTCTGTAGAAGAAAAGGTCTTTGATTTGTGTTTCTTTGCATATTATAATCAAATTATAATGGGGTGTTGGCGCATTTCATGTCTGTACAGGCCTTCTTTCACAGGGCTCAACTGTCGCTGGTAAGAGTGACAGATATTTCCTCTGTCACTCTTACCAGAATATTTACAAGCTCTTTTTTTGGTTTGCTTGTTTCTAGGGCTGACATACACATTTTGTTCTACCGATTTTATAATACAGAATTGACAATATGATGGCTTGAAATTCCAGTGGCGTGTAAACTTGCATATATTTCTTTAAAATGATGAAAGAGGCACCGTAAAGCTTCTGGAAAGAAGGGGAAAAAGGAACCAGACTTGCTTTTGATTACCTATGATGCAGCACAGAAGCAGTGTGTTCGATCTTAGTGTATGTACATTTCAATAATCGGAGAAAGTAAAACTGTATCTTCCATTTCTGGCATTTAGGAAATAAAAACAATTTTGGCAATTCTAACTCACCTAAAGTAGAAAAAGTATTTAATATAGCATCAGAGAGTGAGAAAAATGTTTGTATTTCCATCTGAATATCTACACTGAAATATGTACAATTAAATATTAATGTTAAAACACTTACCAGATCCCCTGCTTTGTATGTTTTGCCATCCAATTCAATAGCAGAGAACACCGCCCAGGGATGCTGCAACTTCTTAGTGGGCACATCAGTTCGTGTCACAGTCTTCGAATAGCCGAGGAACTTTACCTGCTTATCAAACTGACTGTGACATTTTTCAAGCCACTGCATGAAATCTTTCTGGATGTTTCGATTTTTTGAGGCTTTCTGTAAAATTCACAGTAAAAACCAGAAAAAAAGCATTAGAGAAGCGCTATATTTTTCCTCTATAAACACTTCATATAGTATTTATGAAGTATTTGTATTTTTCCCTGTAGCTCAGAGAACCTACTTTAAAATACTTCTGAATACTGAACAAAAATTAAATTCGTCATCTACTCTGGATCTTCAGAATCAGAACCGAACAAGTAGAATACATTTTTGTGTTCCACTAATTTGAAGTAAACATGCAGAAAACTCCAAAACTTTTAAAACACTTTAAATCAAAGCTTATAATCCATTTGTTTAGTTAATTTGATTAATTAATAGTGGGTGAACAAGACTAACTGTAGTCTTGACTGCAAGATTTTATTATTTTTCTTTCTTTATTTTGTCACTCTCATGCAATGTCTATTGTTTTTTGTCAAGTGAAGCACTTTGAAATCCCTTGTTGCTAAAATCTGCTATACATGCAAACTTGACTTAAAACACTGAATCATCACCTGAACGTTAAAAACAGGGGTGAAGTGGGTATCCCTGTGCCTCAGTTTCAGCTCCAAGTCCATAAACTTCTGTTTGCTGGCATTGACCCGGAATTTGTCGTTGGTGAAAAGCACCCCAGAGAAGCGGCTGAAACACTCCAGGGGCAATGTACTTTTATTGGGCCAACGGCACCAATCGAACCTGGAGCACAGACAGAAAAAATGTTGACATTTTATTGTTTTTCACAGAAGCAACATTAACTGATCGTCCAAAGTGGTTCTAGTCAATAAATTGCAGGTGTTCTGGGCTACTACAAATAGTGCTACGTATTTCAGTGTAAACGGTTTGATTGCTAAGCAGACTTCTATGTTTCAGGCTAAAACTATACATGTAATGCTATGGGTAAACACTAGACCACAAAACTGTGTTTTTAGGTTTTCCAGTACAGTTCAATGGTCTACATTCTACTGTATATATAATCCTTCATGCTTAATTTTAAATATAAAAATCCTAAATTCTCTAGTCATGGAAGAATGGATGGATGAGAGTAACAGAGGAAGAAGAAAAAAGAAAGACTAATGGAAGTAAGGGATCGACAAGGATGCCAATAAGGATGGAAGATTTTTGAAAGACCTGGGGCCTCATGTATGAAAAAGTGCGAAGTTTTCACACTAAAACTTGGCGTACGGAGAAATGTAGAAAAGTTCGCCGCACAAAAAAAATTTGGATATATAAAGCTGTGCGCACGCACATACCTCCGCACCTTTCCTATATAAATACCGATTTGCATGAAATTGAGCGCAACTGCTGGTCCGCCCTGTCGCCACACATTTATACATGTGTAAATTAGTATAAATACCCAGAAATCTGCCACTGTGTGAAGCAATAACCATGGCAACGTCTTTGTTTGTAGTAGTATAAGTATTTATAAGAATTATATATTTTATTTACAAGTGCTTTTAGGGCACATAAGGTCACCTCACAAAAAAAAAACAAAGTTAAAGAAAAAAAATCCAAATTAAAAAAAGAAAAAGAAAAGAAAGAGATCCAAGTGCAAATGCCTGTTTGAACAGCAGAGCGTTCAGCCTGGATTTAAACACAGACAGCGTGTCAGAGAGTCCTTTGAGTGAGGATGTGGATGTTTATTCCAAATAGAGAAATCATGTGAATAAGTTGTACATTTACAGAATAGAGATGCTTTCTGACCAGAAAGGTGCATTCACAGTCGGGCATGGCTCGACTGAATGATGACTGCAGTTGCACGGTACTGTTATTGCATGGCTCCTGCTTTAAGTTTTGCTCAGAGCTCCAGGATGATCAGTCTGGGCAATCTAAATGCTATTAAACCATCATCAACATTTCCCAGCAGAGAATATGATCTCTGTACACACGCTCCCTCTGAATCTGAATCCTTCCATTTGGAATTAACCTGCTAATCCAACCCTGTTTTCTTTTTTAGTGAGAATGAAATTACCGCGCAGATGCATTTCAGGCGCATTGGCGCACAGACCAATGAATTACATTTTTATGAGACAAAAATTGAGGAAAAGTACTATTTACATTCAAGTGAGGGTGTCACATCCTTTAATTTTTATTTTCTTTATTTTGTGTATGTGTTACGTTATTGTCTGAGGATGAATGCGGTTCAGTTTCATCATTTACGTTTAAACAATAAAATATTAAAATAATGAAAAAAAACATTGGGTTTGATGCTTCTTGGTCTAAAAAATACTTAATGTAGTCAGATTTCAGTGTATTTAGGTGCATTTTGACACTTTGTAGTTTATTGTCCACAGAAAAAGTTTAAATGGCTGCCGCACATTTTCATGCCATGTTCATTTTTATATATGCCGACTTGTGCATAAAGTATGGTGATGCATATTTTTTGTGCGTACGCACGCTTTATACATGAAGACCCGGAAGAATTATGGTTTAGCATCACTTCAAAAGATGCAATAAAGGTCTGGCTCCTTTTAAAGCAAACGTAAAAAAGGTAGCGGTAGAGGTGAGCAATACAGAATAGGGCGGACGATTCCTCAAATGATTTGAGTACCTCGATTATTAAAATTCCTCTTCCTAAAGAGTAATTTGTATCACCAATCTACACACAGTAACTGCATTTAATCACTTTTTTAAATGTATTAATATTTACTGAGTGGGGGAAACTGCAGAAATAACCCTGACAATACGGATATTTTTGTGGGGTCTCTAACATCATTAACTAGAATTTATTGTGACAACGAAAAATCACAATTCTTATTATACCAAGAAATTTTTCAGAATAAATGATACACAATACAATAAATGCCCACCTCTGCATGCGTTGTATTAATGTTTCAAATTAATGTGAGATATAATAATTTGTATGCAGGTGAATAAAATAGATTCTGGTGTCTAAAGAAAGGTTAAAAACAAACAATGTTTACTGATAGAACCAGTATCAACAAGAGGAATAGAAAGAGATTCAGAATAAGGCTATATAATAAAAAGCTTAAAAAAACTGGTCAGATGTCTCAGATTATTTGGAAAAACATATGAAATATACCCAAACAAAAAGTAAATGTTCAACCCATTCATACAAATGTATTTACTCAGAAATTGTGGTGTAAGGGATAAGTCGTCCATTCCAGAAACACTCAAAGATGTCCCTCTTCCCTCTGGCCCGATTCATGGTTCCGGACTGATTCTCATCATCATCTTCCTCAACAGATACTAAAGACACAGAAGCACATCCACTTCACAGATCAAGCTGTGAGAAATCTTTTCCTAAGCTGCATGAGATCTGAATACCTTGAGGAGCACTGGGATCTTTGGGGTAGGTCTCCTTGTCGTAAAGAAATGGATGATATCTCAGGATTCCGTCCAAGGAGCCGCCGTCGGAAGTGGTGGCCTTGAACTCAAATGTGTCTACAGCTGAGTTTATGTACAGGGTCTGCAAGTCATCCTGCACTTCTCTCAGATTCTTCTGACGCAAACCTGCAGGAGGTTTCTCTCGCAAAGTTACCTGGCAAAAACAATTAAAGAAAGCATCTGAAATAAAGTCATAAGCTGAGAAGCAGTGCAAATGGCTACTGAACTGATTTTTGGTATCTAAAATATTTTAAATCTCTAATTCTGGATTGGATGATCACCTTTTATGATGAGTGACACCTTTATTTCACAAAATGTTTGTTATATTCAAAATCTGTAAACTAAACCTAACAATCTATCAAAGTCCTTTATAGGCTAAGCCAGAGCTTAAACATAAATCCAATGAAACACTTCAGGAAAAACCTAATGATTGTTGTTTATACAACTTGACTGAGCTTGACAGGATCTGCAGTGAAGAATGAGAGAAAAATCTAAAAGACGGATATTCTGAGGTTACAATAAACATAACCAAGGGTAGTTGAGGTTAGGAGAAACGAAGAGTACCAAAATTGAGTCTTGTGACTCCCCACATGTTGAAAAATGTTGAAGAAAGCCTGTGATTTAATTTAATGCATTATGAAATAATTAAATGTGAAAAATGTGATCAGTGGTTAAAAAAAAGGTGTTTGGGTGCAGAATACATGACCTAAAAAACAAAACAAACAATTACAGTAATAGTCAACCAAACTCACCAGAATATCAATTTTTGGACTGGCATCTGATTTTTGAGACTGGTCCATTTTGTGGTTTCCGTCGACTCCATGAATGTAATAATGATAAATGTGCCTGAAAAAAAATATATAAAAAAGTACTATTATGTCCCATGCTTCTGACATGCCTGGGTTCATACTCTATTTGATATGAGTGAGCAAACTCACGCTAGCTGTCTGGTCCACTCATGAAAATCATCTTTTAGATATTTGATGTGATCAGGACAGACTCCTGTTATAACAACAGCAGTGAAGCTTTCCTTCCTGGTTTCCTCCTTGATGATGTCTTGAAGGTAACTCTCCTCGTGTGTTATGTGCGAGAAGTCACCAGGCTGCCATGAGAGGTCAAAATGAGATGTGCCGATTACTTTTATCAGTGAATTCACCAAACACTTTCATTAAAATCTCTCACCTTCCTGTTTAAGATGGTCCCTTTGTAAACATCCTCTTTGTTCTTCTCTTTTTTCTCAAACTCGTCCTTTGATAGAACCAGCTCATGAACATCTGGAGAGTTTCTTGGTTTGGTGATCATCTGATAGTTACAAAATGCTATGGTTCATTATACAGATACACAGATTTTTTTTTACACATTCAAAAAACATGGAAAAAGATTTATTCAAAACCATTTATGGAAGAATTTATGGTTGAAGTGAGGCAGTAAGGCAGCAAAAATCAGGGCTGCCTTACATGGCAGCCATAGAGTGAACATCACTCTATGGCTGCCAGATTTGGATGTCAAAATGTTCCATTTTCTGAAATACTGTTTTAATTTTGCTCCAGACTGATTTGCTCATCAGTCCACAAAATATTTCCCCAAAAGTCTTAGGGATTATCAAGCACTTTCTTGGCAAATGTATTGTTTTTGGTCAACAGCGGTTTTTACCTCACCCCTCTTTAATAGATGTACTACCATGAATGGCAACCAACAATGCGCATGCTGTAAACATCGAGTTGGCCAGTATTCCTTCACAAAGATGTGAGAGACAGAAAACTTCTGCTAAAAGTGGGATAAGAGGTATTGAATCACGGTGTGTAATTTTCACCCACAGAGCACTTTTCTGCTTAATTCTGTTCTCCCATTCAGACTGACAGTGTTTTTAAAAGGTTTAAAATTAAGGCTCATTTGTGTTCTATAATAATCTTTGTAACAAAACAACACATTTTAAATGGTTTCATAAGCACACTCACTCTGACTGAGTTTCCAATGTGGAACGCTGCTTGTTTACCCCCAACTCCAAAGTAGGATATATCGCTGTTGAGACTGCAACGTACAGGTTCAGGACGAGTGTAACCCTCTCTTTCACTGGATCCCCAAAAAGATTTCCAAGAAACAAGTCAGGTAATGTGACAGAATTATGTTTTTATACAAAAAGCTATTGAAGTGGACACACTCACTGGGAAGTCTACAACAAACCTTTCAGATGTGCTGTTTTCCCTTGTGAACTTAGAGAGTCTGTAAATGGCCCAGTTATTGAGCTGCTTGGAGGTCATCCCGCATCCATTGTCCAACACAACGACAGCAGACTTCCCACATGTTTTGTCAAAAAGCTGTCCAGAATAGAAAGGAAAAAACACTACAAGTTATGCAGAATTATTAAAACAGAATTCAGGGGTTTCTACATTGGTTCATACTCAATTTATTGTGCAAAACACAATCAATTGTGTTAATGAACATGTTCACGTTTTCATTCACACAAAACTTCTACACATTTTGTCTTAATATAATCACAAACTGTTGAGTGTTTCCCGATAAATTTATCACCTAAATTTATCGGGAATTTAGGTGATAATACAAAGTAATTCATAATTGTACAGAGGAAGGAAAATTAATATTCAAAATTTTTGCCAATAAATGTTAAAAGTCATGTTGCTACTATGTACTTCCTCCTCTTTAATCTGGCATTCCTAAATTATGTCAAAAACGTATGCTGTAAACATCAAGTTGATACTAAAATTTTCAAAAGTAAGAAGCAGAACCAACCATCCTTATCTCTATACTCCTGACTCCAGTGTTTTTTGCTGTGGCTGAAAGAGCATTGTCCACCAGCTGAGCAAGAGCGGAAGCTGAAAAAAAATGACACAAAGACACCAAAAGCTTAAGGTAATAAGCTGCATTCCCTGTTCCCAAATTATGAGCATCACTTTAATTACATTAATACCCACGCAGGGATTTCTGGCCCTCAATAAAGTACTCATCTGTCCCACTTTCAATCAGTGTGTTGTAGTGAGGAATGAAGTTTATCTCTTCTTCTATTGAAGCTGGCAGGACTTGGTTTGGTTTTCGTAGCAGATAGAGGGTGGTGCCATCTTTCAGTTTATCTGAAATGAGTGAAAGAATAATATTCCATGTTCTCATTAGTGTCTTCCTCTGTTTCATAAACATGAACAGGTTTACTTACCAAATTTATCAGCATCCACTATTATTCTGTCAGTTGTTGTCAACACAAATGTCTCATTTGAAAGGACAGAAAATGTCTGTGGGGACAAAAAACAATGATATATTATCTGGTTAAAGAATTTTTGAGAACACACACTAATGTGGCATGAAAACTCCTGGCCATTTATTTGGGTTGAGATCAATGGCACTCACTCATGTTGGAACATTAACATGATAGGAAGTCCTGATTTTATTATGTAAATGCATGGAGAATACTTTTTGTAATTCATGTAATTTTCAAATTAACTTATCAGTTATATGTGGAGAATACAAATACCCAACCATTTTTAAGCTTTCCCTTTTGTAAAGAAATGAGAGGTCTGTAATGTTTATTGTAGGTACACTTCAACAGTGAGAGACAATTAGTGTTTTAAAATGCTAATTATTCTTTCTCAGAACCATAAAATATGGATTTTTGGACTTTTTAAAAATTGTGTTTCTCACAGTTGAGGTGCACCTATGATGAAATATTTTAATGCTGAAATTTATCATTAGAACAAATATTGTACTTTTCAAGATGACAATTTCCAGATGCTTAAGAATTTTTATGACATAAGTAATGATACATTTAAAACAGGCAATTTCAAAGTGTTAGAGTATTTTTAAAACCCATATTCAAAAAATTCAATTCAAGTGTCTGCATACATCAGCAATTTCTTATATAAAAAAAACAAAACAAACAAATACAACATTAAAAATACTGAGCTCAGAGTTAAAGGAATAAATTAAAAGCTGATTTAACTGTTAGTGATTTCACACCAAGGGGATTCCAGTGTAAGCAAAAGTGTCAAGCCAGTCTTACAATTCCTCTTAAGAGATTTTCAATTGCATTCATATAGCAAATGGCTCCTGCCAAAATAATACCTATGAAGAGCTATTATTACCTTTTGAACAACTTGCACAAAGCCATTGAAGTCCAAACCGCTGGTTTTCAAAGTTTTTCTGGCGGTCTTTTCAAAGCGGCAGTCGTTCACTTGGATCATCTTGCCTTCTTACTGCATTGAGACTGCAAGAGCGGTAAAACTGTGATGTTTAGTACAGTGGCCCTGAGATGCAAAGCACTACAACATTAACGAAGCACAATTACAAATTACGAAAGCACTAAAACATACGGTGGCCGACAGGTGCAAATGCGCAGCAACAGAGAAAACATGCAAACAAAAAAAAAGACACGCGCACAAATGAAATAAACATAAAAATAGACGCAAACAAAAAGCAAATAAAATGCAGCAAACAAAAAAGAATACAACCACAAATGAAATGCAGCAAACAAAAGAAAAGATGCAAACAAAAAGGGCTGAAAACGGAAGTAGAGGGAGTCGAACAAAAAACAGCTATGTCCAAATTTAGGGTCTGCATCCTTTAAAACGGGTTTTCAGAAAAGCAGCAATGGCGGCAAAATTATTTTTGGTGTATTACACTTAAAATTACACAAAATGATTTTTTACAATGTTTTTAGGCGAGAATGTAGACGTATAGATCTGAAATATCTGCTGGGTTAATCAATAAATCACATACAATATTGCTCCGACGTTTTCGGAGATGTCTGCTCCCGCTGCATTAACAGCCAGGTCCCCTCGCCAGCTGGCCAGGAGCTCCAGGTTCGGTACACCGAGAGAGAACCTATGTCTCCCGGCAAATCGTTTTAAAAACTCCCGATAGTTTTCCCCTATGAGTGGAGATGAAACACAGATATTAAGCCAGGTAATAGCTGTAAAATTATTTGGTTCACTAAAGTATTTAATTTATTCCTGGGCAAATGGGTTTGACTGATTAAAGCTAAGCCTTGGTGCATTTCGTTTGTATGCGTCTCTCTTTTTCGTTTGCGTCTCTTTTTTGTTTGCTGCCTATCATGTGTGGTTGTATTCTTTTTCGTTTGCGTCTATTTTTGTGTTTGCTGCATTTAATTTGTGCACGTCTTTTTTTTTTTTTTTTTTGTTTGCATGTTTTCTCTGTTGCTGCGCATTTGCACTTGTCGGTCACCGTACAACTTTTCCGAAGATAAAATCTCAATGGAACTAGTTTTCTATCTAGTTTTGAGCATAGATTCTCTCCATTATGAAATGCCCATTTTCTGATTCAGAGACTGTGGTTAAAGTTCTGCTGTTAGAATCCACCCACCAAAAACAGAAACACCTACTGCAACTGAGACACCCACCTGGGTTGTGCAGAGCTCTTCTTTCTGCTGTCTGTAGGTTTCACCGCCTTCTTCTTGTCGGTTGGCAACAAACTGTTAGTAGAATTACCGCCACTTACTGGTATGGAGTGTGGTTCTTCTTCTTCTTCTGATTTTATTGGCGGGTGACATCTAACGTTAAGATGTATTATCGCCATCTACTATGCTGGAGTGTGGATCAGAGTATCTCCCTTTAATCTAAATTCTCATAAATAATCGTGTTTCCTTCAAAAAATTTATAACTGCTTTATTTATTTTATGTTTAGTTAATATCTTGTTTCATTTTAATGTCTCTATATCATATTTCATAATTTCTCGCCTTAGCTTCTCTCTACTTGCTGCGTACTTTTCACAATGAATTATTACATGTTCTACTGTTTCCATATCCCTACCGCACTCACAACTACCTGTTGGATGTTTCCCTATCAAATGTAATGTTTTATTTAATCCGGTATGTCCAATCCTCAATCTTGTCATTATCACTTGTTCTTTTCGGTTTTCTCCAATTATTTCCATATTTCCTACTTTCTTTTGTATATTAAATAAATGACGACCTTTAGTTCCTTCCTCCCACAATTGTTGCCATTCAGACTTAATTTTTCTCTTAATAACTGATTTTATTTCAGATTTACAATATGCTATTTCCATAATTTCCTTTTGTTTTAAAGACTCTTTAGCTAAATGGTCTGCTATGTCATTCCCTTCTATGTCCTTATGAGCAGGTACCCACATAAACCTAATCTTTATTCGAATTTGTGTTATTCTAAGTATTACTTCAAAAATTTCATATACTAAATCCATACGAGTTTCAGATGACCTATTTAAAATAGACATTAATGATGATAATGAATCTGAACATATAAGAACATTTTCAATTCTATTTTGTTCTATCCACTGTAAGGCCATCAGGATTGCTAACATTTCCACTGTATAAACAGATAAATAATCAGATGTTCTTTGCTTCTTAACTATACCTAGTTCAGGAATAACATAAGCAAATCCAGTTTTATTTGAAACTAAATCTTTTGATCCATCTGTATATATAACTGTAAATGATTTATACATATTCCTAATTCTGTTATTCACAAAATTTTCCCAATTATTATTTTTATTTATCTGCATTTCTTTATAAACTTCTAAATCTACATTCACACATGGAAATAGCCAATAAGGTGTATTTGAATATGGCACCGCAGCAGAGTATGTCTTTCCCTGTATACCTATTTCCTTAATGCATTTATCTGCTGCCCAGGCAAAACAGTCTATTTTAGCTTTTTCACTCTCCCAGCAAGGTTTCAGCGTTCTTACTGCTGTATTGTTTTCCTCCTTATG